CTTCGCCAGATTTTATTACGACCCAAATCTGGCGGTCGAATTCTTAGGCCAAATTAATATATCATTAAAAGTGTGAAGTAGCATTCATAAGTATGCGGATCATTAAAACTTTTTTCTTTTCATTGACCGTTCTGCTTTGATTCATTGATTTCCTGCCAATTTTATTGAATCTATATCTATGGACTGTATCGGTTACTCATAAACATGGATGTTTGTTATGATAAAACATTAATGATATCGTTTTAAGCGATGCGAAAAAGGTTCTAATGTGATTTTTGGTACTGGTTGTAATGACAAATTTGGAGAAAATTATATAATATTAATAAATAAATAATAAATAATCCTGGACATTTACACAGCGTTATCTAGTCCCATGGTAAGCAGAGCTTATGTTATGGATATATATTATGAAAACTGATATAAATACTCAGATACTTTTTTTTTGTTAACACATATACATAGAAAACACCCTGGCCGATACAAACAATCATACCCATGAATACAAATGTTTGCACCGTGCGAGGAATCGAAGCCACGACCATCGGAAGTAAACCGACTTGCTAAACCGCTAGTCTACCAAGGCCGTGAATATTATTTTCTATTATTGGTATTTATGGGTTTCCTAATATAATTAAATTTTATTACAATAAAATGTACTTATAATCCATATAACTAATATAATTATCAATATTTAAAAACAAGATGAAGGTAAAGAAACTTAAAGTTAAATGTAACAAAACAATATTGAAATAAATGTAGTTAATGAAATCTCCGCAGGTAAACGAAACCCATATAGACAAGATCTTTCAGACAAATAAACTGCGGACTATAAATAACTAAAAGTCACAATGTTTCACAAACATATCTAAGCCGGCAAACAAACAATTCTGGTAAACAATGGCAAGGACGTCTCCATTGCATGAGACAAAACGGTCATTGTGTCACGCATCATTACTCAATAAGCCGTCCCTTGCTGCCTTGTGTCCAGTAAACCGGAACGAAAACTAAGGATAAATAAAATATCCAAGTAAACATTTCTTACTTCATTGACTTAACAAAAAAAAAAATTTACGGACGCAGGTTCCTAAAATATTCATAAAAGGTATCAATTGTTTTTTGCCTTCGTTTTTTCCTTTCTCCGTACGTTACTGTTCTATGCAAACTTTTAAAGAAGTACGTATTTTTGTACATATTAGTTATTTTTTTAAATGCTCAATACGTTTCACAGAGAAAGCCTAAAACCTGTTTTTTTACTGAGGTCCAAATATTTACCCATTTAGAAGATTCGGATTTTGTGTAATTACAATTCAGTGATGATGAAACAGATATTACTACATAAAGAAACGGTCAAGGATGTAAGAAACACAAAAATCTAGTATCTAGAACTTCCTGAACGATCAGAGAGACGAGTGTTTATTATATTTAGTGAGGAGCGTAGTAAATAAAAATCTTGATGCCAATGATACCATAGTTTCAGCTAAAACAGTACCGTAACTGAAAATAATAAAGCAAATCACGAAGAAAGAATAGGATGTTGTTTTTCAATATGTTGCCGATGCGGGAGGGAATATTATCGGCCATAAAAGCTTACGATTGATTTTTTATCCCGAACATAACAATAGCGTGAGGCAGAATGCGATGTACCTACCTGTTCTATTTCATTTGAGGGGGAGCAAGACGGACATTGTGACGGAAGTCCCATTGTATAGGTTGTTGCACCATGCATTATGAGGCATTGTTAACAACAAGAAGTGTTCTTTACATGTACTGTGATATTTATTTTTTGATGTATTATATTTTAGAATTCATGTGTTAGTAAATCTTCAACTATATTTAAAATTTTGCTATCAGTACTCTACTGGTTTACTACATGTCTATCTGTTAGTATTTAAATGAATATGTATCTTGTAATTTAGTTTTATTTAAATTATTAAATCGTTTTGTCGTTTCAGCAAAGCTATCCTTATTAACATTTTGTTTTGGTTCTCTTTATTATGTTTTGTCTGTATGAATTAATTGATTAACATTCTATGGCTATAGTTATAGATTTAGGAAATTATTATATTTAATAAATATATTATTAACAAACTCCATTCAAAACTATGTTATTTGTTTACTCACTGCTCTTGTAACAATTAATTTACGACCGCGCGGATTTAGTGCGAAATAATATTTTTGGAAAAATCACAAGTATAGGAAAAAATTTCATTAGCAATCAAATTTACCAAAAACCTGATTAAGTATTTTTAATCAGCATTATTCTATTGATTGTTCACTTCTGAACACAAATATTCTCATATTTTTTAGATTATTAATCCATTTTGTGTGATGTATTTGCCTGTATACAAGACCACCACTTGAGGACCTCAAGTGGTGGTCTTGTGTCTTTCTAAACAATCCAATCCTATTTTTCTTAACCTGACCGATTAGTTAAGATATTAAATAGCTAACAAATAAATAATCAAATGCACTCTCTTATATATATGATTAGTGTGGTACAGTAAATACTGCTACATTAATTTATGACCTAAGTATCTAATAGATAGATTTTGGTAGATACTGAGGACGTAAGTAGGTAAATTATTTGCGGCATTTGCCTGTGGCTTCAAGCGTTAATAAAATCTCGTCTCGTCTGAGCGAGAGATTCATTAACTCTCCCAAAGTGGCATACAGGCCACTGCACAACTCTCATTATTATAATCATGTTTGGTACAAATTATGTTTAGCTTAGCGGATCAACACAAGGTGTACTAGGAACATTTTCTGAAGTTAAAATAGCTGCCTTAGATTAATCGGTATTTATCGTCGTTTTCGTGTTTATAAACCTGCCGTTAAAACATTCCTAGACTAACAATAATAAACGTCAAACGTAAAAAGCTTTTAGTATAAAACCATTGATAATGTCCTATGCTCCCGTAAGTTTCATGATGTAAGTTCGCTCATTTAAATATTAGATACAGAATAGTCTTTACGCTAGGATAGTATAGAAATAGAGGAGCTTAAATTCAGCTTATACAAAGTAATTCGACACGGGTATAATATAATATACAAGAGAACCGAATAAGTGAATAAATTTATCTCGCTTAATGGATTTCTTAAAAGCCTGCCAAGACTACCGTGGCTGTCACCCATCTTACAAAATAAAGGAAAATTCTTTTGTATATATTTAGTGAAATTAATATATTAACTAAACCGTGATTTGGCTACTCAACTCTGAAATCAAAAAGTAAAAGATATAAGCATATCGAGTTGTTATGAGTAATTACATATCTACAGTTTTGGGTCACACATCCGCCATACATATTAAAAATAATCCCAACTAAATTTTTGTTACGCTGTACAAGATGTTGGTCCGTGTGGACTGATGAGATGTGCATACTTGGGCGTGATGCTGATGTTTCATTTTAAAATATGATTGACTTTAGAAGCAATTAAAATGTTAAAAAAATCTTTATTCTATACCCGACTTTAAATAATATTAGTTAATGATTCCGCCCAAATTTCTCTATCCAGAGATTTCATCTATAAATAGTCGTATTAAGTTAAGTTCGATGTTTGTTTCTTTGCATATTTCTTCAATTGATTTTTATGCAATTTTCGCTTTAATTTCGAGAATTTACTTTTCGCCCAAGCGAGTTATTTGGAAAATATGTCTACCTAAACTGGACAATAGTGAAAAGAAATTATTAATACACAAGTGACCAATAAAATATTATACTTTACTACAGTATAAATGGTTTTTAATTTTGAACCAGCGATTTGCCTGTATTTTTTTTTAATATAAAATACAGAAGCTGCTGTTGGTGAAAATTCATTAAATTTAAGTTAAGTATTTTTAAATTTGTCACGTAATATTTTTTCCCGTAAATTAAGTAAGACTTTATAAAATCAACATTATATAATATTTTGATACGGATCATGATTTTCCTTAAATAACTAGATTTTGTAACATCGAGGCAAATATAGTTTTATACTCAGTGACACCAGTTTTCATCTAAATGGCGGAGGGTGGGGGTCAACTTGCGTCATCCAGCTTGAAGTTAAGACGGTTCTATACCATTATATTTACATGGAATTAAAAACATGAGGAACCGAAATATTTTTGCGGACGAGGATGTAATTACGTAGATATTATTATCATCCGAGGACCGGGTAATAAAAGCAGTCAAAAACACTCGCCTGGAATTAAAAGGAATTTAATAGACGTAGACATTGTTTGAACGCGGCTGTTTTGGGTTTGAAGAGTTTACCGTGTTTAAAATGTGTGTAATGCTGTGAATTACGACACATACATGATATTAATATCAAAAACGTTTATATAGGTAACATACGAATGTACCTAGTATAGGCATGAATATATCGCCCACAGTATATACATACTGTACTGGATTAGCTCGGAAATTTAAAAATAAACATAATATGGATTCTAAACTATGTAATAATTAAGTGGATTGTCCATAGTAACAAATAGATTGATGTATAATCAAGTAGTACAACATTGTAAGACTGTTAGGTTTTATAATGATCTGAAAAGTCGTGTCCTGAGTTAGTGGCCATATCATTTAACGTTCAATGTTTTTAGAGATTTATCTATATATTAACTGTATCTGTTTAATTTTAACTTGTTGTTGAGATCCATGAAATTTTCCTACTTTTTTATAAAATACACCAATTGATATATACAAGACATGAAATTTGTTAATTATATTTTTCAACCTACTTACTTCAAAAGCCACATTGGCTTTCAATTGGTATATATTTTATAAATAAGTAGGAGATTTTCACATTAATCTATATTGTTTGAGTAGTTCAATTATAAAAATTTCTTTTTTAATTTTATCCAGTTATTTGCAATATCTACATCAAATTGAGTAAAATTGTTCAATGATACCACATATGCGTTGCTTTTCCAGAGGATTAAAATGTTATGACTCTGTATATATATATTAGTACCTATAGTTAACCTGCAGACTACTAATTTCGTTATATCGTGTTCACAGATCGACAAAAGTGCAACGATAAGGAGCAGTGTACATCCGTAAAGCGGCGCCATGAGGTCGGCGGGACCCACGTGAGGTCCCGCCACGCTATGGGCTCCAACATCAGCCAACACTCGGCCAAGGGACTGAAGGGCCGCCGCGCCAGATCCAGCGGAGACCTGTGCAATGGCGACAGCAAAAGTCAGACCGAATCGTCGGTTTGTGGCTCTGTGGTGGGTGACGTCATGGGGTGGAATCGGTCACTACCGAACCATCTAGACGGCAACCGACATCTGGCGGATTATAGCAGAGTCAATAATAACTACGGAGAATTTGCTACATACAACCGTAGTCATTCGAAAGGAAGAGGACTACGTTACAGGGTGTCTAAATCTGGTGAGTTAATATATGTGTTACATTTTGCATCTGCTGTGTCAAGCTCATAAAATGGACGCCAAGGTCTATCCTACCATACATTATACCTATATTAGAAATAAACAAATCTATAACAAAAATGCGATAAGAAATAACTTCAACTTTGAACATTTTTTTTTTAATATTAAAGTCCAAAAATTCACAGGTTGTACGTGCAGTAGATTATTATGTCTGTAGTGGAGTATCGTATTAGTCACCTATGTGAGAGTGTGAGTATGATGTTAAAACACCAAATAGCTGCAATGTGTGTTTAATACGCACACAAGTACAACATACTCTGTAACACTACATGAATATTTAATCGAATCTATCTACTGATTGCTATAAAATATTCACAATTTTGCTTAACTTATTTGTTATGTGAATAATACATTTTTAACTAAAACAACATCAAATATATTAAACTGTTTCTATAATAGAAAGTAAGCCATGTCGTCTCATTATATTAGGATTACCACATTTTTAACCTATCCAATATTTGAGTAAGTCGATACTTCTCAATCAGTCGCTACTTATTATTAGATCGTCCCTCATATCTCCATGTTATTACCATGAAAACAAAGAAGAAAGTAATAAAAAAGATAAGAAGCATAAAGAAATATAATAAGCTTAGTATCTTAAAATAGCAAAGTCTTAGCAGATTACAGCCACGAGTAAAACGTTATTAAGACGTATGGTCGACAACAAAAGTCTATTACCGCTCGCTCTACTAAACAAATGAATGTTAAACGAATAAACATTAACAACGTAACGTTAAATGCCGCTGTAACAGTTCAAATAATTTGGCTAATTAAGAAATTATCGTACTTTAACATTTATTGCGTGTTATTAAACTATTTTCTTTGCTCTCAGTACACGGTGTACGATAATAACTTAAGTTATAAAAGATAATAACAAAAAGTTCAACATTTATTACGGCTTACGGCTATTAACTGCAAGAAAGTGGGGCGAACGTGGCGTGGTATACGAAATTAATATCCGGATGAGATCCTTAATTTGGTATCTCTCTAAATATGTACAATGATTAATTTCCAAATGCATAAACAAGTTCCTCCTTTTAAGTTATAATTATTTTATTTAAAATTCGAACTTATCAAATAATTTTATTTTTATCATAACTTGTAAGCGTCATGGTAATTCAATTCGTATTTGTTAATTTTAAATTGTCACTGGCACATTTGCGTTCATTATTCCAAATTCAAATTAAACAGGATATCCCGACGCAGAAAGGCGAGGAGACCCGACCTCGATAATGGTATCAGGGATGGACAAAGATGTAGATTCCAAATTCAAATTACAAATAAAAAGCACTTAATGTATTTCCTCTATAATTTGCTTTTATTACATTGGTTTTTAAATTAATTAGGATTTAAAATTAATAGTACCTAAACTTATTCAGTAAAATTTAAATTTACTGAATAGTTTAGAAATAAGTTTGTATTCCTGTTGTATAATAATTCTCACGATCTCTTCACGAATGAGACCAACTGAATATATACAAATATATTCAGATGACGTTCGTATCGTTCTATTTTAGGTTAATTTAGTTATTAGTTTACATTTTATTACAATCTATGAAATGACTCAACCGTCGTGAGCCAGATTCGAACCTACGATTTTAATTTACTCGGGATAGTGATCCACAATACTATAAAGCTCGTAATTAAAAATTATTAAAATATGATCATTTTTATTAGATAGTATTTTTGACTTCTAAATTCAAATTAGTAATATACTATCGACCTTTTCGGTGAGCAGTACAATATGAACGGACATCTGCCACTTACCACTAAAATAAATACTTCTTTGATCACTCAAAATAATAAGTTCCCAAACAACTTTAAGAATCTCGATCCAAAAATAGAACGCAACGATAAGCACGAACGACAGACACGGCCGCAGGGCCGCCAGGGATAATATTGAAAATATCTTTCAACTGAAATATTATATTTTGAATGAACAGAGCTATATGAGGGTTCACGTTAGGCAGGCGGCCGGTCATAAAAAACTGAAGTCAAAACCATTCTCTCGTAATATGAATTTGAGTGAAAGAATTGATGATGAACAGAAAGTCTATTTTTAGCCATCCAATATTAGTATATTTTTCCATGATGATAAATTTTTCTCTACCGTCGCGTAATATTAGTTTGTTGGAAAGTTTAATAAAAAAAAGAGGCATGACATCTTATATATCTGGAATGGCAACACATGCGTGGTATCCCAGCTGTCACGTGATTACATATTATAAGTAATTATTTTTAAATAGGTCAAGTTTTTCTTAACTTTGTTTGGTACCAACAAAAAACCTAAAATTCAATCTTTATTATATGAGTATAGTAAACTGAAACTTAATTTTTTTGCTTCTTTTAACAATTTCAAATTAAACAGCCAACTGTGTCCCTGAATTCGGTACTGGTAAAGGGCGGGGGATAAAAACCGTAACGACATGACGTAAGACCATCGATCATTTAACCTCACCTTGGGGAAAACGTACGACTGATCGCGTACACGCCGCGAAGTCATTTGGGGTGACACATTGAAAGTCAACTTGACCACAAAGAAAAATGCACCTACATTTTTTTGTCTATAATCTCCTTTATGTGTTTTATTGGTATCGATACTTATAATATAAATGTGACAGTTTTGTTTATCTGTTTTGTTTCTTTTCACTCCTAAACTTCTTTGGATTTCTTACGATTACGAAACCAAGGGTGTATTTGGCAAAAAAAAACTTAAGAGTTTGTTCTCTATTTAGATGTGAATATATAGGGTGATGAATTTTGTAGTGTCTTATACATATGTCCAGAATACGGCCATTTGATGGGAGTCTGCATTCAGGCGAGAAATGTAATGAAGTGCCTTTTATGATGCACATGTACTGCAAATAATGAAAATTGTATTGAGAATTAATAATTTTGGATAGTAATAATTACCTTAATCAGAAAACAGACTACTGGAAATACTACTATGTAAACGACGTCGCGAGTATCCACTAGTGTGTAAATATAAGGCTGTCTCTACACCTTTAAGTTTTATTCACGTAACGTTACATAATCAAAATTTACAAATGTAAACCTTGTAAGTAAGTTATTGTAAGTTACTGCTTACAAACTAAACCGCATTTACGAAGTTTTACTCACGTAGATACTTACGTCAGGTGTAAAGACGACCTAAACAAATACGTACTCCTATATATACATACTATAGCCGTGCCCGCGGTTTCGCGGTTCCCTTGTAACTGTTAATATACATAATAATTATTGTATCATTTTCACTAAAATATTTTGTTTCTTTTAGCAGTGGAACAAGAAATTAATTAGTTCTAAGCAGTAATATTATACACAGCAAGAAATAATAATAATCTCAGGACAATTCACACAGTGCTCTCTAGACCCAAGTTAAGCTAGCCAAACCTTGTGTTATACGTACTAGATAACCAATACAAATACATGGATATATATTTTTTTGTCCAAATAAAGACATGATACAATAAATACGACATTTTGTCTGTCTGTTTGTTATGTTTTCACAACTAAACGGCTGAACGGGTATTATCGATCGTTATATAGACTTACGCTATTATTTATCTAAAAAAAAGCAGACGAAGTTGCGGGTGATAACTAGTTAGAATTTGTACTCAAAGTCTGCATTGTTGACCGCAGTCGTAGGCTATGTCAACAGAGGCGCGAAATGATGACGTCATATTGCGCCTCCCGGGAAGGTAAGGTCAAGGTCATAATGGTTGAAGGTTTAACATTGTCGGATATCTAACACTTGCCTTATTATAAACTAAGGAACATGCAGCGTGGCTCCTATTTATCTGATTAATGTTATTGGATTTCATATAAGTTATTTGAATATCCTATTAATATTGTAAACACGGATGAAATTTTCGATTATTGTGTTATTTTTTCACTCAAAACCTAGAAGTATTCGAATGCAATTTAGTCGACAGATCATATCCCGGATTAAAATCAAACATTATATGTATATACAAAATTGGGCTTGTCTGCCTTTCTGTATTGGTTTCCTTTTCATGGCTTAATAAATCTTAATAAAATTTTATATGACCATATATATACTATACAGCTAGGATGTACACACAGAAAAACAAACTATCGCATTTCTAATTATGTATTAGCATTATTCAGGCAGCGCCACAGGATTCGGTTAGTTGCATATAACTCAACAAGTTTACAGTCCACTGCAACATGTCATAACATAATACCTAATTAATTCTTCTCTAATCAGTAATGAGTTGAGTAATTGGCACTTCATGAATCTTTTCTGGTTTCCTATTAACGATTCCGCGTTACAATACAGTAACAGCTAAAAATATGTCTATATCAGTGATTACCTAGAATTATATTTATTATATTTCTTCGATAAATAAATTTCAATGTCTGAAAAACTCTTAACTCTTATCCACATCTTATATTATTCAATATTGCCCAGACTAAAAAATGTTCTTTTAAACTTTTTTCACGTTTGTTTACAATGGTACACATTAAATAAACGGGATATTTACTATAATAATATTATTTAAGGGTTCCCGATATTTCGATGCTGAATAGTCGACTGTAAGTTCACTGCTAACTACGATATATGTAACTCATAGCTTGCGTTCTTTTCTAGGAGACCAACTACGAGTTATCTAGTCCTGTGTTTACTTGCCAATTTTATGCAGTTACGATTAAACTCGGAATATATCAGTGCTAACGATAGATGACTTCAGGAAAAGAACAAAAATTAATGCTAGCTTGCATTATAAAAAAATATGTGCACCAGAATTAGAGATTTTAATAGTATAAAGTGATTAAATTAAATTGCTATTTTAGGCAGATTTCTGAAAGACCACGTATTGAATAATGTTAATTACCATTGTAAATATCCCGTTTACAGTTTACAATTTCCACAATATTACTTACTAGCATGACCAGCATGACTAGCATGACCAGGGG